CCGTTGTTGCTGTGTCCCATCTCTGGAACATCCTGTCTGTCCACCTTGTCGACTCCTCGCAGTATTTTACATGTTGTTATCATGTCTTCCCTATCTTTCCTGTCCTCCAGTATCGTTAGGTTGATTGCCCTTAACCTCTCCTCGTAGGACATACTCCTTAGCTATGGGACTAGTCTTGTTGCAAACCTTTACACTTTCTCTAGTTTCTTTACGTGCTTGGCTAGGTGTTGGTTCCAAAATGGTGCTGCATACTCCAATATGGGCCTGACGTACACAATGTACAGGGTCCTGAACGATTCCTTCTTAAGATGTCAGAATGCTCTTCGTAGGTTTGCTAGGCGCCCGTATGCTGCAGCAATTAATTGGTTGATGTGCGCCTCATATGTACCCGGTGTTATACACACCCCAAGATCTTTTTCCTTGAGTGAGGTTTGTAGTCTCTGGCCCCCTAGACTGTACTCCGTCTGCAGTCTTCTTTGCTCTTCCCCAATCTTCATGACTTTGCACTTGGTGGGGTTGAACTCCAGGAGTCAGTTGCTGGACCAGGTCTGCAGCCTGTCCAGATCCCTTTGTAGTTCTGCCTGGTCCTCGTCCGATTGGATTCTTTTCATCAACTTCACATCGTCTGCAAACAAGGACACTTCAGAGTCTATTCCTTCCATCATGTAGTTCACAAATACCAGAAACAGCACTGGTCCTAGGACTGACCCCTGTGGAACCCTGCTCATCACAGGCGCCCACTGACACCTCCTCACGTAGCATGACTTGCTGTTGTCTTCCTGACAGGTATTCCCTGATCCATTGCAGTGCCTTCCCTGTTATCCCTGCCTGGTTCTCCAGCTTTTGCTGCAGGGTTTGTGACACAGGATTTCCCATCCCTGAAACCTTATTGGTTGTCGTTGATAGGCTCATTCCTTTCTAGGTGCTCCACCACTCTTCTCCTGATAATCTTCTCCATGACTTTGCATACTATACATGTTAGTGGCACTGGTCAGTAGTTTAATGCTTCATGTCTATCTCCGTTTTCAAAAATTGGGACTACATTTGCTGTCTTCCCTACCTCAGGTAGTCTCCCTGTTTCGATAGATGCATTGAAGATTGTTGTTAGTGGTACACATAGCACCTCTGCTCCTGCTCTCAGGACGCATGGAGTGATGTTATCCGGCCCCACTACCTTTGAGATATCTAGCTCGCTTAGCAGCCTCTTCACTTCTTCCTCGGTTGTATGTATTGTGTCCAACACTTGATGGTGTACCCTACCTCTCCGTCTTTCTGGAGTCCCTTCTGTCTCCTCTGTGAACACTTCTTTGAATCTCATGTTGAGCTCCTCGCATACTTTGCAGTCATTTCTTGTGATCTCCCCTCCTTCCTTCCTCAGCCTGATTACCTGGTCCTTGACTGTTGTTTTCCTCCTGATGTGGCTGTACAACAGCTTTGGGTCAGATTTAGCTTTCGCTGCTGTCATTTTCACATTGCCGCTGGGCCTCCCTTCTTACCTGTCCATATTAATTTCTGGCTCTAAGACTTCTTTCTTTATTCTCCTGGGTCCTTTGCCTTCTATACTTCTTCCATTCTCTATCACACTTGGTTTTGGCCTCTCTACACCTTTGGGTGAACCAATGGCTCATTCTGGCTTTCCCATTATTTATATTACCCTTGTGTACAAACCTCTCCTCAGCCTCCTTGCATATTATTGTCACATATTCCATCATTTGCTGACTTCCCCGTGCAGGAAATTCTTCATGCCCGTATAGTCCCCTCTTTTGTAGTTTGGCTTCATTCGTCCTGCCCTTCCTGTTTGACTCTCCACTTGTAACTCTACTACATATTCGAAGCTCAGAGCCATGTGATCACTGGCCCCGAGGGGTCTTTCATATGCGTTGTCCTCAATATCTGCACTACTCAAGGTGAATACCAGGTCCAGTCTTGCCAGTTCATCCTCTCCTCTCTCTGGTAGTGTCCTTTACATGTTGGTATATGAGGTTTTCCAGTACCACCTCCATCATCTTAGCCTTCCACGTTTCTAGGCCCCCATGTGGCTTAAGGTTCTACCACTTGATTTCCTTGTGGTTGAAATCACCCATTATCAGCAGTTTTGCCCTGCTCATATGAGCCCTTCTGGCCACTTCAGCCAGTATGTCGACCATTGCTCTATTACTCTCATCATACTCTATTACTCTCATCCCATTTTTCTTCCTGCCGTCTTTCATTGTGTGTCCTCCCCATGCTCTCCTGAAGCCCATGAATAAACACTGACTTCTTCCTCTCCTCCTCCCATTGCTTTTCCCACAGTGTCTCTGGGTCCCATTTGTACATGGCCATTGTCTCCCTTTTATTTTCTTGTAGCTCTTGGTGGCATGGTCGTGCCTCTGCATGGGACCTGTCCCCCTCTCTGCCTTCTCCCCCCTCCCTTACAGCTATTCCTGCTCTAAACTGCTCTTCCCCTTCATTCCTCGGCCCAGCTTGATGGACTAATAGGGCCTTAGCGTAAGTCGCGCGTGTGTGTGTGTACTCACCATATGTGGTTACAGGGATCGAGTCACAGCACCTGACCCCGCCTCTTTGCTGGTAGCTACTAAGTTTACTCTTGGCTTAGAGAGCCTTATAGTGCCTCCTTATCCTGCCTCTACCACTTAACTCTCCAGATTGTTCCACTTCCTGACTACTCTAAGGCTGAAGAAATACTAATATCCCTATGACTCGTCTGAGTTTTCAATTTCCAAAAGTCCCCTCTTGTTTTTGTTTCCTGTCTCTCTAACAATCTGTCCCTATTCATCCTGTCAGTTCCTTTCAGTATTTTGAACGTTGTTATCATATCCTCCCTAGTCTTCCTGTCTTCCGATGTCATCAGATTGAGTTCCCCTTAACTTCTCATTGGACATTCCCTTAGCTCCAGGACTAGTCTCATTGCCCTCTTCTCTTTCTCCAATTTGACATACTTGACCATGTGTTGGTTATATACTGGTGCTGCGTACTCCAATATGAGACTGACATACAGGCCCATGGCCTAGTGGCAAAAGCTCTCGCTTCACACGGTGAGACGCCTTAAGGGAGGTTCCTTGACGCTGGTGATGGGCTCTTGATATAGGGAATTGGATCTGTGCTCCAGTTCCCTGAATTGAGCCTGAATGCCTTCCGTCCCCTCACAGGTGCTGTATAATCCTACGGGCTTAGCGCTCCCCCATGATTATAATTATAATCCACATGGTGAGGGTCCAGGTTTGATTCCTGGCGAGGGTAGAAACACTGGGCTTGTTTCCTTACACCGGTTGTCCATGTTCACCTATCAGTAAAGTGGGTATCTGGGTGTTAGTCGACTGGTATGGGTCACATCCTGGGACAAAACTGACCTAATATGCCTGAAATGCTCTGCATAACAAGGGGCTTTCTATACAGTAGTATGTCATTGATGTCAGCTAGGCCTGTACACCTTGTACATGTGCTTGTAGAAAATAAAGATATTATTATTGTTATTAAATCAAAAAGCTATTCTTAGACTAGCTAGAAATGCACTTGCTGCAGCAGTTATTTGGGCGATGTGCACCTAAGGTGATATGCTTGGTATAATACCCCAGGGCCCTTATTCAGTAAAATTTGCAGCCTTTGCCCCCTTTCCCTCAAGGTTATACTCTGTTTGCAGTCTTCTTTGCCCTTCCCCAAACTTCATAACTTTGCACTCACTCTCAGACCAGACCTGCATCCTATACAGATCCATCTGTAGTCTTTCCATGTCTGCATCTGCTTGTATTCTCCTCATTAGTTTCACATCATCTGCAAACACTGACACTTTTGACTGTAATTTGTTATGTCATTCATGAATACAAAAAATAGCACTAGTTCTGGCACTGATCCCTGTGGAACTCCACACATCACATAAACCCAAGAAAATGCAGTCTACCCATCTCTCTCTATCCCCTCTGCCTTACTTCTGTTACCTTGTTGTAGAACTCCATTAGGTTTGTGGCAGGTTTTTCCCACTCTAGGTGCTCCACCACTCTTCTGATAATCTTCTCCATCACTTTACACACGTCAGTGACACTGGTGCGTAATTTAACACTACCTGTCTGTCTCCTCTCTAAAAAATTGGGACTTCATTTACTGTATTCCACACCTTTGGCATTTGCCCTGTGTTGATATATACTGAGCCTCTTTTCTTATCCATTCATACTTGTTTCTGGCTCTTTAGCTCAACTTCTTGTTTTCCTGCATTTTTTGCCTTCTGTTCCTTTTCCATGCTCTAGCATATTTGGGTTTAGCTTTTGTGTGTGTGTGTTTTAGGTAGTTAGTTACCAGTTGTCAAGGACTTTTTGACAGACACATGGCATGTTGTGTGTCTGTATACATACACACCTATTTGTGGTTGCAGGGTTAGATTCTCAGAGCCTGGCCCTGCCTCTAACTTGTCACTCTTCAAATTCACTCCCTCTTAGTCCCATGGGCCTTATTGTACCTGCTCTTAAAACTATGTATGGAGCCTGCCTTCACCACTTCCTCACAAAGATTATGTTCATGGGCTCACCTATACATGTGGTTACAGGGGTCGAGTCTTAGTTCCTGGCCCCATGTGTGTGTACACACTATATTTGGGGTTGCAGGGGTCAAGTCTTAGCTCCTGGCCTCACATTTGTATGTGTGTACTTACCTACTTGTGGTTGCAGGGGCCAAGTCACAGCTCCTGGCCTTGAGTATATGTGTAATCACCTATACATGTGTATATTTCTTATATTTATGGCTTGAAAGAACAGGCATTCAGGAATGATAAAAATGCAATATTATTATTATTATTGCTATTATACTAATCTTTGTGATGTGCCATACAAAAATGCATTAAATAAAAGTCATCAGAAACACTTCCTTCCCATCTGAATGCAAACAATGAGAAATAACGATGTATGAAAAGCTATATCTTAAAGTGGGTATATAATGTTTCAATTCTGCCATCAATATCAAGGCTACAGTTATTTATAGCTATTTAAACAATGTGGATAAATAAAAAGCAATTTATTAAAATATTTTCCCACGGGATTATATTTATAAGCGTACAGCATCTGCAGTATTCTTCCCCCACACAGATAACAATTAACAGTCATGTTTGGTGCTATGATTGTCGAACATAATCCAGGTATTCATCAACAGAATAATCAAATAGCTCAAAGTCAAGTTTGTATTTTTCATACAACTTCATCAGTTCTGTTTTGGTTATGGTGGCAAAGTATTTCTGAACCATGTCTGAAGTTTTCTTTCCTTTAGTCAGATGTTTCCATGATGGTTTGATCTTCTTCTCCAGATGACTTTTATGTATGATATAATTCTGGTCTCTGTCCAGGGTTTCAAATTTAGCAATAACTTCATAATCAACCAGACATGGCGTACAGTGAAGGTAATACGGCATCCAGTGATCGTCTGCATAATAAATTAGATCTGTATCAATTAAATATTTTATAAATTCAGAAAAAGTAGGCTCAATGCCACTGGGAGCAGGTAAGCTTGGATCATCCATATCCTGCGAGTAACGATTTGCAGGGGGTCCCTGGCCAGCTGGACGATATTTGGCCACAATTTTCTGACCAAACTTGAGATAGAAGTGCTCAACACCATTTTCCTTGCCAATATTTATGTTTTCAAGCTTATCTCGGAAAGCAGATACTAATCGTTCAAAGGGGTGGCGCACTATCATGAACTTCAGACACACTTTGAAAGCCTGCAGCAGAAAAACAAGTGATTACATATTATGCATAAACATACTGTACATCATACATTAAGATATGAACTCGATTATACAGAACATACGTACAGTGGTACCTCGGGATACGAACAGCTTAAACCGCGAACAATTATGTAAGTGTATTTATGTAAGTGCTTTTGTAAGTGTATTTTTGGGAGTCTGAAATAGATTAATCTAATTTACATTATTCCTTATCGGAAAAAATTCTTTTGGTATCAGCACTCGAACAGCCTTCTGGAACGAAATAAGTTCGTATCCCAAGGTACCACTGTACTAATAAAAGTTCAGTACACTACTTAAACATACCCCTGTATCAGCCTTTTAGATATTCATCCTTTAGCCTAGCTATCTAAATACACCATACCATACATGTATATACTATACAGAGACAGGACCATGTAAGGGATGTACTTAAAGCTGGTGAAGGGCTCTTGATCTGAAGAATTAAAGTTACCTTCCCATTCCTCAGATCAAACTTAAAAAACTTACTTGTCTCCAAATGATGTATGACCCTTACTTGTTTTGCATTTCTCATGTACAGTGGACCCCCGGTTTACGATATTATTTCATTCCAGAAGTACGTTCAGGTGCCAGTACTGAACGAATTTGTTCCCACAAGGAATATTGTGAAGTAGATTAGTCCATTTCAGACCCCCAAACATACACGTACAAACGCACTTACATAAATACACTTACATAATTGGTCGCATTGGGAGGTGATAGTAAAGCGGGGGTCCACTGTATTGTCCATGTATTGTTTGTAACAGCTTGAAAAAGCTCCTGAAGAGCGAAATGTTGCCAAAATAAAATGTCACATTAGTTGCACTTGTGTTCTTTTACTTTACATGATTATAACATAAAAATAACACAGTATATAACGAGTACAAAATGAAGAACTGTGCAAATATTCTGCCAGTCTCACAGATGTGAGGTCAGCACAACAGAATGGCAGAGATTATTATAATTAGTATAAATTCAGGCAGAAAATTAATAGAATTAATTTGGTCTATCATACCCATATGAAAAGAAATTCTTCATTCTGGTTTCTTAAAAGAAACCAAAAAGAAGAATTTCTTAAAAGAAACCAGAGAAGAATTTCTTATCATCCAGGTGTGATAGACCAAAATTTCTGCCCTATTCTGGCCCCAATCTTATTTATCCATTTTTCTTATACCCTTTGTCAGAAGTAGTAGTTTTGTTACCTTATGCTCATCACATACATGCTACAAAAATGACCTTGTCCCAAGATGCTGACAAGATCTATTAATTTTCTGCCTTAATTTATACCAATTATAATAATATCTGCCATTCTGCCTACCTATGATGGATTTTACACAAGAGGTGTATTTACAACTTTTTTACAGGAATGATAAATTAAGTTTGATCTCGCTTACTGTACTCATGTGATCTCTTCAGTTATTACACTCATCATATCCTTGAATGCATTAAGTCATTCCATGAAGAATGTATACGTGACAATGAATATCCATATCTCCTTTTTTTCTTTTTTTTTTACACAGTTAACTATGCAGGCTAAGAGCTGTTATCTCCAGATCATTTTAAAGTCAAATGCTGTGCAAGGTATACTATTCCCACTCCACAGATATGACCAACAAAAGTTGACTAACACCCAGATACTTATGTACTGCTATATGAACATGGGAAGCAGGTATAAGGGGACTTCCCCATGTACTGGGCTGTGATCCATAAAAGTTAACTAACACTCATGTCCCTATTTACTCCTAGGTCAACAGGGGCAGCAGGTAAAGATACTGGTCCATACATCTTGTGCAGCCCAGGAATCAAAGATTATTTTAGCTGTAAGCCAAAGGCTCTAACTGATAAGTTACTGGTCAACTATTGCTATAATATGCATCTTTGTTACTGAGTTATTGCTTGAAGTGCAGTATATAGTGCTACTCCTTTCTCATAATTTATTTCTAATTTGTGCTTAAATTTTTTTGGAAACTACAATTAAAACAACTTATTACTAATAAATTATATAGATGTGAAAACAGGCTATGGTTTATGAGAGGGAAAATGTAATGACAGGAAGACCCATTATAAAAAACACTTATACTGTTAGTAATGTATGAGCAAGAATATTTTAAATTTATAATACAGTACTGTAATATTCAGCTATACAAAAGATAAAAAGACAGTGATTGGACAGACAGGACAACAAATTATGTTATGCATAGAACAAAAGGCAAGAAGCAATAATAACTGTTAGCATAAGATTTACCTTAAGCACCTCATGATCTGTACCTATGTAAAATATATTTATAAATAAACTATTGTGTTTGTACTGTATTGCATGTAATGTGATCTGAATCTAGCTGTAACGTCACCTGTTTTGCATCCTCATATTCAAGGGGAGGCCATATCCTTCTGGCTACATGTGATACTTGCTCCTTGGTGTTGCGTACATATGACTCGGAAAGACTGGCTAGAGTGAGGAAGTTGTAAAGCCAAGATGTTGATGCTGCCTTGTATATGGGGCACCATGCTAGTAGATCAGGTCTGCAGATGTTGAGGCATAACATTCAGTACACAAGATATGTATCAAAGCCATACAAACTAATGGAAACCAGTATACATATTAATATGGAAAATAGATTACAGAGCAGGTACTGCATATATGTATCTTATGGGCAGACACAGGTAACTTGCAATTAAATTAATTGCTTTTGCTTTATGTAAGCTAGAATAAACACTGCAGTCTCCAAGCAACGTATGGTAAAACCTCAATTTAGTCAATTCCGATTTAACAAATTTCAGATTTTATGGATAAAATTCATGGCCGGGTGTCTAAAATTGTCTGTTATTATTATGGTCCACTGGGTAAATTGATTTCTGGTTTAATAGACAAAGTTTGGAAGTGACCATTATTGTTTCAGTCTTGGAAAACAATCTTATCCAGATTTAATTAATAACTGGTAATAATGGACACCCTTTTACCTATTAGTCAGCTAAATAGAGGTGTCACAGTATAACACAGTAGTAGATACAAAATACTGTATGCATTTCATGCTACAGTCTTTTAAATATATATCCCTGTAATATTGACAGTGGGACCAATTATGGAGATTAAACTATCAATTTTCATAACAGGAACAAAAAAGATAGTCTGGGAATGCAGCTGTGGTAATTATGCCATGAAAAATGGCTATGAATGTATATCTGGCTCAATGTACATGAAGGAAGAGCATAAGAACATAAGAATGGAGAATACTGCAGCAGGCCTATCTGCTCATACTAGGCAAATTCATCTCAAACACAAATCCTGTAACAAAAATATTTGTCATTAGCCACTAACTTCATTGACCTTTCATAATGGATACTTTTATCATTATCAACTAAGCAATGAGGTTTATTAGGTTTATAATGAAGGAAACAAAAACTTTCTTCAAATTGTTAACCTAGGTAACCTAATATAGCCAAACAGTATGGCTCATTTCCACTGAGGTTCTTTAACTCCTCTTCTGCAGGATACAACCCACAACAGTTGACTAACTCTCAGGTACAGTACTGTACCTATTTAGTGCTAAGTGAACAGAATTAGCATGTACAAAACTTGGTCCTTTTGGTTGTGACATTAATGGCCTAAGCTTCAATACAACAGCCACACATTGTATACTAATCACACAGCTTGTTCATTGTACAACTGGAAGAATATGACTGGGATACAAGTAGTTAAGGGTTAGGTTGCAGTGTAATTCTGCATTTAGTAATTTATTAATGGTAATGACTCGAGGTTGCAGATGAACAAACTGTACATTATCAAAAGATATATGAGAAAAAAAAGTAAATTTCATTAAAGTAAAATCAAAGATCACCTGGAATTCTGAGCAGTGATCAAAAGAATGGTTCTTGTACTCACCTGTCTATGTAGAAGACTTCATGGTTAGGTGTTGGTGGATGTTTGATTCTTGGTTTCTTATGGGTAGCATTGGGTCCTAAACCATACCTTCCACACACTTCTTTAACTCTTGACCTCCGGTCAGACATAATTTTTTCAATGGCTTCCACATTACCTTCCAAATCTGGCAGGTCACGCACAGCACTAACTTCATTGTGCACAACTGCCTGCCCTCGAGCCCCAGTCTCAAAATCATGGTTTTCTGCCATGTTGTTGTCTATCTTAACTTGTCTGTTTACTCTCAATAATATTTTACCATCGTTCTCTACATCTTTCTTGGTTTTTGCAGGTTTCTTGTGTTTTCTTTTACCTTTTCTCTTCTTGAAGGCTTCACCACCAATATCCTCCAATGCAATATTATCCTTGACAGCACCTGCTTCATCTTCCTCTTCAATAGCATTATTATCATCTACATTTCTGTTCCTCCCTTTAAACTTTCCTTCTTCATCTGCATCTTCATCATATTCGTAATATTCCTCTTGGTAGGCTTCAGGAATATCAAGTATCTTTTGTTGGAAAAAGATTTTGTTTCTAAATGGTTTGGGATTGAGCTCTTTTATTTTGTCCTTGACAACTTTTGCATTGTATCGTGGGTTTATGTTGTTGCTATCAATGAAAGCAGCTGCAGCCACACCATGCTTTAGCTCCTTTATATTGTCCTGGGTCTTTATCTATGAAATTAAAGGCAAGAATTTATTTAAGGAACACTTCTGCTCTAATATAAAAATATAAAATACAGTATTAAAAAGTAATTACTTACCATGATTATACTTAATATAAAATACAGATGGGCCCAGTTTTACAGTGCTTCACTTTACAGTGTTTCACTAATGCATGTGTTTTCAACTATACTCATTCTTCATTTATTCAGACTTCCTATAATAAATATATTCACCACTCACTATAAGCCAAAAATGAAAATATTTTAAGGTAAGTATGTGTGTACTGTATATGCATTTTTTACTCTTAGCTCTACTGTTCACTTAATATACGATAGTGTAAACATGTTATCAGGCTACTTTCGTTTTACAGCAGTAGCCTGGAACTTAGCCTGTTGTATAAGCAGGGCCCCTCCTGTACTGTACAAGCATGTCTCCTTACACTCACTGATCCTATTTAGTGAGTACTGAATATGTACCTAAGAGTTAGTCAAGGTTTGTGGGTCCTATCTTTGGAAGGGTGAGATGTATATATAAGTCTTGTGCCTGCCACCCCTGTTACCTAGCATTAAATATGTACCCAAGCACTGTATTAGGTGATTACTGCAGATGGCATCCTATACAGGGTGAGATGTACAGGCAAGCCTCCTTGCACCTAGAAGTAAACAGGCAACTGTGTCTTTAGATGACTGTTATGGGTGGCATTGTGGATCATGATACTCTGTAAATTACCAATAAAGATATTGCTAGGGTCAGGCAATGAAATAAACTGAAAAAGGATAACAGCTCTAGACTTACAAAACAAAAATATAAAAACTCATATTATAAAAAAAAGAACATTAGGAGTATGAACACATACACTGCAGTAGAATGAAAGCTCAATCTACATAAACACAAGTAGGTACATATGTAACACTGGAAAGAAAGAGAAACAGAAAAGATATGATTATAAATTACAAGATTTGCAGAAGCCTTGACAGGGAGGAGACAGACTATTTGAAAGGGAAAGGCTTGGAACATGAGGATACAGATGGAGTTAAAGATGCAAAAGAGTCACAGTACTGTTAGAAAGAACGAGTACTTTTGTCTGAGGGTGGTTTGAAAGGAAAAAATTTAAATCTATCAATGTAGTGAAAGGAAATTCCATACATAGTTTTATGAGTAGGAATGATAGTGTCAGTAGGGTTACTGAATTCCTATGTAATATACTTGTGTAGTATATCGTAAGTTGTATCACCCATATACAGATACCATCCGACTTACGACCGAGCTTGGTTCCGACCAACCAGTCGTAAGTCGAACCTTACTACTGAATATCAACATCACATTTTTGTAATGACTTTATTTTATTGTTTTATTTTGTTATTTCATTTTTTACTTTACTTTTTACGCTGTTAGTTTACCTGGAGTTTACCTGGAGAGAGTTCCGGGGGTCAGCGCCCCCACGGCCCGGTCTGTGACCAGGCCTCCTGGTGGATCAGAGCCTGATCAACCAGGCTGTTACTGCTGGCTGCACGCAAACCAACGTACGAGCCACAGCCCGGCTGATCAGGAACCGACTTTAGGTGCTTGTCCAGTGCCAGCTTGAAGACTGCCAGGGGTCTGTTGGTAATCCCCCTTATGTATGCTGGGAGGCAGTTGAACAGTCTCGAGCCCCTGACACTAATTGTATGGTCTCTTAACGTGCTAGTGACACCCCTGCTTTTCATTGGGGGGATGTTGCATCGTCTGCCAAGTCTTTTGCTTTCGTAGTGAGTGATTTTCGTGTGCAAGTTCGGTACTAGTCCCTCTAGGATTTTCTAGGTGTATATAATCATGTATCTCTCCCGCCTGCATTCCAGGGAATACAGGTTCAGGAACTTCAAGCGCTCCCAGTAATTGAGGTGCTTTATCTCCGTTATGCACGCCGTGAAGGTTCTCTGTACATTTTCTAGGTCAGCAATTTCACCTGCCTTGAAAGGTGCTGTTAGTGTGCAGCAATATTCCAGCCTAGATAGAACAAGTGACCTGAAGAGTGTCATCATGGGCTTGGCATCCCTAGTTTTGAAGGTTCTCATTATCCATCCTGTCATTTTTTCTAGCAGATGCGATTGATACAATGTTATGGTCCTTGAAGGTGAGATCCTCCGACATGATCACTCCCAGGTCTTTGACGTTGGTGTTACGCTCTATTTTGTGGCCAGAATTTGTTTTGTACTCTGATGAAGATTTAATTTCCTCGTGTTTACCATATCTGAGTAATTGAAATTTCTCATCGTTGAACTTCATATTGTTTTCTGCAGCCCACTGAAAGATTTGGTTGATGTCCGCCTGGAGCCTTGCAGTGTCTGCAATGGAAGACACTGTCATGCAGATTCGGGTGTCATCTGCAAAGGAAGACACGGTGCTGTGGCTGACATCCTTGTCTATGTCAGATATGAGGATGAGGAACAAGATGGGAACGAGTACTGTGCCTTGTGGAACAGAGCTTTTCACCGTGGCTGCCTCAGACTTTACTCTGTTGACTACTACTCTCTGTGTTCTGTTAGTGAGGAAATTATAGATCCATCGACCAACTTTTCCTGTTATTCCTTTAGCACGCATTTTGTGCGCTATTACGCCATGGTCACACTTGTCGAAGACTTTTGCAAAGTCTGTATATATTACATCCGCTTTCTTTTTGTCTTCTGGTGCATCAAGGACCTTGTCGTAGTGATCCAATAGTTGAGACAGACAGGAGCGACCTGTTCTAAACCCATGTTGCCCTGGGTTGTGTAACTGATGTGTTTCTAGATGGGTGGTGATCTTGCTTCTTAGGACCCTTTCAAAGATTTTTATGATATGGGATGTTAGTGCTATCGGTCTGTAGGTCTTTGCTGTTGCTTTACTGCCCCCTTTGTGTAGTGGGGCTATGTCTGTTGTTTTTAGTAACTGTGGGACGACCCCCGTGTCCATGCTCCCTCTCCATAGGATGGTAAAGGCTCGTGATAGGGGCTTCTTGCGTTTTTGTTGTACACGGAGTTCCATGAGTCGGGCCCGGGGGGCCAGTGCATGGGTTTGTCTTTTATCGCCTAGTTCGAAGTAAATTTGGCGTCAGGATAACATCGTTTGGCTTGTGTTAACCAAATTTGGGGCTTTCCATAAAAATTCAATTTTGATCTTGACTCTTTTGGTTAGTGGCTTGCTAAAAACTGAGTAAATATTGGGATTGAGTAGCCCCACCCCTTTTTTCTTGCTGTATCTGTGTAGGCCCTTTCTTTTTTAAGTAAGGGCCCAAAAACTGGATGTTTTTCTCGATTTGGGGTTTTTGGCATGGGGAAAAGAAATACTTTGGGTTTCTTTCGTTTCTTTATGGCTTTTAGTTTTTCCCCGGATTCCTGATCCTATAAGTTTCCTTTAGTTTTTAAGGGTTTTGATGTTTGTTTTTTCCCTTGACCAGTGTCCCCCTAGCATTTAATTATATTAACCTTTTTTAGCCGTCTTTTATTTTTTTCCGTCCCCTGAAAAGGGGGAGCACCTGGTTCTTTCTTTTTACATCTACCCCTTTCCTTTTTCTTAGTGGTTTAAGCCGGGCCCCCTTTCTTCGAGGGCCCCCAAATTTTTAATCTGTTCAGGCAAAATTTGGGGGCCCTGTGTTGGAAACCCCTTTTGAGGGTTTTCGTGTACTAGAAAGTTTAGCTTTGGGGTTTTTGACGTTTAGTACTCAAAAATTTCTAGGGGCCCTTAAAATTTAGTGGGAGAAAAGCTGGTGGGCCCTTTCCCTTTGAAAGAATGCGTTTATTGGTCAGTGTGCACAGTTTTAAAAAAAATCCTGCAGCACAAGTTTTTAAAAGAGAAAAAAAAAAATTTGACCATTTTTTTTTTTTAAAAAATCAAACGAATTTGCAGGTATTTTGTTATGGTATTTATTGTTTATTCTAGTTTTCTTTGGTTTCTTTTTTTAGGAAAAAGGAAAAAAATTTTTCAGGGAAAAAGAAAATAATTTTTGGGTGGTTTTACAAAGAAAGGTGCCTTTAAATTGAGCTCAAAATAGAGAAATTTTTTCGATTTTTACCAAACTTCAAAAGGGAAAACAAATGTGAAGCGGGCCCCCCCACACCATCCCTGGGGGAGTTAATTTTCTTTTACAAATGCAACCCAAAAATATTTATTTCCTTTTTTTACACTAATGCGTGTCTGCTTTAACAGAAAACTTATATTTTTTGTGAAAATAAAAATTCAAAGTGGAAAGAAAAAGAATAAAAGGGGGGCCTTGAGACATGATAATGACTAGGGGAAATTTTTGTGAGGAATTTTTTTGTTTTTTGGCCCCTATCGGTTTGGGCATCTTTTGAAATTTGTGGAAAATTTGGGCAAAAAAAATTGCAAAATTCTGACCACTGTATGGATATTTGAATTTCAAAATGAGTGGTTTCTTGCACCCATTCGATAGAAAAAAGGGGAAAGTTCTAGAAAAATATTATTTTTTTTTTTGTCGTAGTACAGTGAAATTGGCCAAAAATGGGGTCAAAGTGGGAAAAATCGCCGATGGTAAACATCGCCGGACCGCAAATTTTTTGCGGGGAGAGCATAATTCCGTAAGTTTTTATCAAATTTAAAACTTTTGGTGTCTTTATGTCGGGAAAAAGATTCTTTTCTTTTCATAAGAGAAAAAAATTTTTTTTTTTTTTTAAATTTTGGCCGCCCCCTGAGAACAGTTTCGGAGGGGCCTGTCGCCCCTCAAAAGGGTTAGTATATTTCCCGGGTTATATGGTTAGGGGATTGGTTTACTTGGTCCACTTTATTTTTTGTTATGAAGTTAAATTTGGTGAATGTCCCTCGTGACAAATTTTCATTATGTCGGTTGGGGCCCCCCGCCATACATGTCAACCTCAAATTATTTGTGTCAAATTATTGTTTTTGATAGGGTGACATTTTTATCGATCATCCATTTTTTATGAAGATGGGTCTGGTTTTTCCCCATCTAGTAGGCCTATTTTTGCTGGTTTAAAATTGAATTTTGTGCAGAGATTTAAAAGCTCGTGTGGTTGAGT